TCTGATTCTCTTTCTCTTTCTTTCTTTCTCTCTCTCTCTGTCTTCCTCGCCTCTCATTGTTTCTGTCTCCCCTTATTTCTCTGTGTCTGTTTCTTATTCTCTCTCTCTCTCTATTTTTCTGTTTCTCTCTCTTCCTTTCTCACTCTGTGTATGTAGAGCGAGAGACGCTGCCTGGTCATCTTCGTCTTCGCGTGATGGTACAATTCTGCTACTTTTGCGGTGATCTGAGGTTGACGTTTGAGGTTTAGCTTCTAGTATCATATACCGCACGGGGGCCTAGTCTTAGGACTTCACTGCGATATTTGGCAGTGGACGTGTTGGTCGCGAATCGAAATTTTGACAGATTCCTTTTTTGGCGAAGTTGACGCGGTCGGTCGTCGAATCGGGGGCTTCGTGCGTGGAATATTTCGCGTTAGAGTACGTCATCGCTTGCCGCCTCTTCCCATCTCGACTTTCACTTTGGCTTCGCTCTCATTCGTTATTCAATGAGTGAACTTTCCCAGTAATCCTTCTTGCAACATTCCTTGCTACGGATACATTGCTCTCTCTTTCTCTGTCTGTCTGTCTCTCCCTCTCTTCTCGGGGCCTTGGGTATTTTTCTCTCCCCCTCTCCTTCTTACCTTTTCCTTTTTACCCCCTCTCTTACTCCCTTCGTTATTACCCCCCTCTCTCTGCCCCTTCCTTTCTACCCCATCTCCCTGCCCCCTGCTACCCGCCCCTTCTACCTCCCCCTCTCCCGGCCCTCGTCCAATGCTACCTTCCCCCTCCCCCCTCCCCGCCCTCACCATTTACTTCACTTTCATCTGAAGGTCACGTGAGGGAGCGATGACCTACCCTGCTGCTAAGCCTTCGTCTCGTGTACACTCACAGACAATTATACCCTTCACTATCACTCGTAGTAGTAGATGGCCAAGTTAGCGTCTGTACTTTACGCACGGATGGGACAGAGAGAGAGAGAGAGAGAGAGAGAGAGAGAGAGAGAGAGAGAGAGAGAGAGAGAGAGAGAGAGAAGAGAGAGAGAGAGAGAGAGAGAGAGAGAGAGAGAGAGAGAGTTTTCTATACGGTGTAATAGGTCGACTATTGCCTCGCGTGTCCCTTTTACTCGTAATGTTGTTTATTAATCTGTTTGGGTTGTGAATACACGTTATTTGAAGATTAGTGTTACCTACCGTCGTTTGTTTGATTAAATTTCGTATAATCTTTCAATTGCGCAGGAGGTAAATCAGTTCATAAATGAATGATACGAAAAAAACATGACACATTAGTTCCAGCAAGCATCGTGTTGAACCTTCAGCTATATCCCCAAGGAGGACAGAAAAAATAAATGTCTGCCCACGATTCATTCGAACAGTCGACACGAAATACCCTAAAACCAATGAATGATGAAAGAGCCATTCAACTCAGAACTCTCACTCGTCTCTCGACCTACTTCGTCGTGAGTTTAAAAAGAGTTCGCTCGACCCGGGCTAGTTTTTATAGGACTTGAAAGTAAAAGATGCCCTCGATCTTGCGTAACACGGACCCCTCCTCACTCACTCCATTCCCCTTCCCTCCAGACTATTGCGAAAAGGGCGACGCTGCTATGAAATTGATTACATAAGCAATTATATATATATATATATATATATATATATATATATATATATATATATATATATATATATATGTGTGTGTGTGGTGTGTGTGTGTGTGTATGTATGTATGTATGTATGTATGTATGATGAATGTATGTATGCATATGTATATGTATATGTATATATACATATATATATATATATATATATATATATATATATATATATATGTATGTATGTATGTATGTATATATGTATATATGTATATATACATATATATATATATATATATATATATATATTATATATATATATATAGAGAGAGAAGAGAGAGAGAAGAGAGAGAGAGAGAGAGAGAGAGAGAGAGAGAGAGAGGAGAGAGAGAGAGAGAGAGAGGAGAGAGAGAGAGAGAGAGAAGAGAGAGAGAGAGAGAGAGAGAGAGAGAGGAGACGAGAGAGAGAGAGAGACGAGAGAGAGAGAGAGAGAGAGAGGGAAGAGAGAGAGAGAGAGAGAGAGATAGTAATGTCATGACGGATTAGGTGCATCGAGTGACGTCTGTTGGATGATGCTCGTGGCAGCGCAACGTACGAAGACAAACGACAACAGTTAATGATTGTGACGATTTAGGCCCTGTTCAGACGAGTGATTTTAGTGGCGCGACTACTGAATGAATGTTCACACGGAGTTTACAGTGGCCCGACTCTTGGCCACTATTGTATTTTTTTCTTCTCTCTCTTCAGTCGTTGATCATACACAGCTGGTAATGGATGTAGAAGAGGTGGCATGTGCATGGGTTTTATATCGTCGTTTACAGCGGCGGAAGAGAAATACATTATTAGGTTCATCCTATCTTTATTGAGAGACTTACCCATGGAATGTTCTTCACATTGTATCCAAAGTTACGAGAACATGAACCCAAGTTCTTTAATTACATGAGAATGTTCATTAAATCAGGATGACAGGCTGGGGGAAGCGGAAGCAACTGTCGCCTGTCTGACTGCCTCTGCTCCACGTGCTCTCTCATTGGTTAAATCCCAACCGCTCCAGCTATTGTGGCGTGCCATCACCATGAAAACGCATTGGCTGTCGTCGTGTGTGTACGGCCGCATAACAACACATGTACTTTAAGTGGCTGAGCAGCCGGGCAACTGTATGGAAGATTTCGAGTCGCGCCACATACCAGCCACAAGCCACTATGTGTGTGCGCTCCTATTCACTGTCATTGACCTGGCAGTCGCGCTTCTAGCAATCGTGCTACTAAAGCTGCTCGTCTGAACAGGGTCTTAATATTGAGCTGAATTTGTTCTTTAAAAGATAAATGCAAGTTAAGTATAGTTCTATCTAAGCACATTTCCCTCTGCGTATACAGATCTCAGGGATTAAAATGATTGATCTTTATGCAGTAATCCTCTATCATTATATGGTTTGATTTTATCTTGTCACGTTCTCCCATCATCCTCGTCTTCCCTGCTTTTTCTTCCTTTATCGGTCTCTATAAAGAACATGGTTTCATCCTTGTCCGTCTTACCAAGACGACAAAACACACATTAATACACTTTATCCCCCCTCTCTCCAGGTAATCATCCTCAGCGCCCTGGTTGCCGTGGCCATGGCGGCGAAACTCGGTACTCTCAGCAACCTGGTCGAGGAACCCACCACCACGACGGAGGTACTAGGCAAAGGCCTTGAAGTTACTAATTTCTTTGTTATTTTAAATCATTATTATTATTATTTAATGTCATGTTTCTGATACCTGTATTAGCATTAAGTAAACCATTATCATTATCATCAGAATCATTATCATTACCATTGGGTGCGCTGGATGACATCAGCATCAGCATCACCACCAGCATCACCGACATCACCAACACCATGTGACCCACATCCTTCCCCACCACCAGCATTCAACCTACATTGTCCCTCCACATCACCTGCCCACCGCCATTCAACACACACCTCCCCTCATCACCACCGTCACCATTTCCCTAACTTCCCTTCCCCACCACCACCACTCAACTCACCCCTTCCCCTTCCCCCCAGCCTCCCAAGCCCTATAGTTTCGGCTTCGAAGTCCGAGACGACAACACGACCAACTACCACAACCGCGCCGAGGCCGCCGGTGACGGCTGCGTCCGGGGATCGTACAGCTACGTTCTTCCCGACGGCTTCGTGTACACCTACAAGTACCAGGACTGCGGTCAGGGATACGAGGTGAGGCTTTGTATTGCGTTAAAGGAGGGAGGGAGAAGGAGAGAGAGAGGAGAGGAGAGAGAGAGTTTAGTTCCTATGGATGAAAATGTTAATCTCTTATTTAAAAAAAAAACGGTAATTCTAAGTAAGACAGCCGCACCTATTTGTTATGTTTTTTTCTTCTTTCCTCTTCAATCTTGGGGGACCCGTAGAGAATCAGGGAATGAAAGAGGGGGAGGGGGACACATACACGGGAGAAATAGTGGATTCAAAAGTGAAAATTTGGAAGAAAAAAAAAGCAAAATCCCAACGAGAGTCTGGTGCCGCTGCAAGATGCACCGCGCCGGTGTCGGTGTTGCCGAAATTCCAACGAAATTTGTTAATCTAACCTAACCAAACTCCGGACCCTCTTTTCTTGGCGTATTTCGTCGTACTTTTCAGAAAGCTCACAGTATTGTCTACATTCGAGACGGTTCAAGAAAACGAGGTTTATGTACTGTCTCTCTCTCTCTCTCTCTCTCTCTCTCTCTCTCTCTCTCTCTCTCTCTCTCTCTCTCTCTCTCTCTCTCTCTCTCTCTCTCTCTCTCTCTCTCTCTCTCTCTCTCTTCGAGAGACCTTTGAATTTCAAGTAAAACACAACCAGTGAGGTCACCACAATTTTATTAACTTCGCCGACATGTACGAACACTAGTCAATAATTCTATTATACTTTCCTCGGTATATGTAGCGCGGCTGTCTTAATTAGTATTGCCAAAAAAAACATCCAATTTAAAGTGCTGGTTATTGTATTACAGATTACTTTTTATACAGATTTCCCGAAAAGATTCAACTTTGATTCGAATCCCATGATCAAAATCAATTTTTGTTGCCTTAAAGATAAAGGTTAGCCTAAAATTTAATATATAATTAATTTGCATGTACTTCGTGTACAGAAGCCGCCATTCGCACGGGTATTATCCGTTTTTTTCACGCTTTCTATTTTCTTGGCACAGATCGTGGAACAGCGCAAGGAACCCTCAGGCATCCAAGTCATCATCCCCGAGCCTAAGCCCAAGATCGCCAAGGAACAGTCCTTGTTCACAGCTGCTTAAAAACAACAAAAATCGTTCTTCGCCATTTTGACATCTAACCCCCTCCCTCTTCCCTGCCCCCTCCCTCTTCCCAGCCGTTTCCCGCCATTTTTCCTTTTATTTCAAACTTTACAAAGCCACCCTGATTTGTCAGTTTATTATTTTCATGTGGATTTCTTGTAATATTTCTTTTATTGTCGTCATTACTTTAAAGTTTCTTGATTTTCTAGTTGTATATGAACTCCACTTTTGAGGTAATAAAAGACACATTCAGGATTTTCTTCAACTAATATCATATTTTATTACCGCACTTTCCGCTACGTCTGTAATTCTGTTTAGTACAACTTGTTACAAATAATGTTATATATTTTATACTGCATTATAATAAATACGTAACTACATTTTTTTGTATTCATTCATGTGTAAACCTTAACCACAAAGAAATGAAAAATATTTCTAGACAAGAAGCACTCATAGAGCGCATACCTCCGTCAAGGCAATGGGGTCACTGATACAATAAAAATATTTACACTTAAAAAATTCAACTAAAATCACCTTTCTGAAATACACTGGTAACGCCTGTAAACATAACCTCCTTTGTGGAGGTAAGTAAGGTAATGATCATAATAATAGGGGTAACTGATGTAACCGTTCAAAAATTCCTGGAACCGAATCATCACCAAAATTTCATAAAATTTAAGTTAGGCTAAGACACACCTGTAGAAGAAATATTGGGTTATCCTGCTAACAACGACCAAACTAACTAATTAACTAATCAACGTAACCTCCTTCGTAAAGGGTGGGAACCACTGTTATAAAGTGAAAGAGAGAAAGAGACACAGGGAGAGAGCGAGAGAGAGACAGACAGAGATAGAGAAAGAGAGAGACAGACAGACAGAGAGAGAGACAGACAGACAGAGATAGAGAAAGAGACAGACAGACAAAGAGAGAGACAGAGAGAGAGACAGACAGAGAGAGAGACAGAGACAGACAAACAGAGAGAGACAGAGACAAACAGACAGACAGAGAGACAGACAGACAGAGAGAGAGAGACATACAGAGAAAGAAAGAGAGAGAGTCAGAGACAGAGAGAGAGACAGACAGACGGACAGAGACGCAGAGAGAGAAAGACAGAGACGGAGAGAGAGAGACAGAGACAGAGAAAGAGAGAAAGAGAGTCAGAGACAGAGATACAGACAGACAGACAGACCGACAGAGAATGAAAGAGAGACAGAGAGAGAGAGACAGACAGACAGAGAAAGAGGTAAAGAGAGAGAGAGAGGGACAGACCTAGGAAGAGAGAGAAACAGAGAGAGAGAGAGAGAGAGAGAGAGAGACAGAAAAAGAGGAAGAGAGAAAGAGAGACAGACAGACAGACAGAGAGATAGAGAGAGAGAGAGAGAACCAGAGAGACAGACGAATTGAGTGAGAGGGAGAGAGACAAACAGACAGAGAACCAGAGAGACAGACAGAGAGGAAGAGAGAGGGAGGGAGAAAGAGAGAGACAGAGAAAGAGAGAGTCAGAGACAGAGAGAGAGAGAGAGACAGACAGACAGAGACACACACACACAGAGAGAGAGAGAGAGAGAGAGAGAGAGAGAGAGAGAGAGAGAGAGAGAGAGAGAGAGAGAGAGAGAGGAGAGGAGGAGAGGGAGGAGAGAGAGAGAGAGAGAGATAGACAGACAGACAGACAGAGAAAGAGGAAGAGAGAGAGAGAGAGAGAGAGAGAGACAGCCCGACAGAGAAAGAGAGAGAGACAGACAGACAGAGAAAGAGTGTCAGGGTTTAGTTTTTGCCTGACTTTGGTGGGTGTATGGAGACTCAGTTCTGGTTTGCTTCTTTATTAGTTGAAGTGGCTGGTAGGTAGCGTGGCGTGGGCTGTGCCTCGTGCTGGTGCAGTTGTGGGGAAAGGGAGCCCAAAGGCGCGTCGAGTGGTAACACGCGTGTGGGGGGCGAGCCCCGAAGGGAGGTCTGGTCAGGTCTGGTCGTGGCTAGATACCCCTCGTTCCTCAGAGAGAGAGAGAGAGAGAGAGAGAGAGAGAGAGAGAGAGAGAGAGAGAGAGAGAGAGAGAGAGAGAGAGAGAGAGAGAGAGAGAGAGAGAGAGAGAGAGAGAGAGAGAGAAAACAGAGAGAGAGACAGACAGACAAAGAGGAAGAGAAGAGAGAGAGAGAGAGAGACAGAGAGACAGACAGGCATTGATGGGGACATAGTGGTTCAGTACTCTTGATTTGAAAAGTGGGACTACCAGGTAAGGCTGGCTGAGTGTAAAACAGCGTTTTCATTTGATGAAGGACTATGGCAGTTTAAAGTTATGCATTTTGGTGTGCCCAATGCACCTGCCACATTTGAACATCTTATGGAATGCATTCTAGATGGGCTACAGTGGAAATCAGCATTTATCTATTTAGATGATGTTATTGTGTATGGAGACACTTTTGAGTTAAAAAGACTAGAGGTGGTATTCCAGCACTTTAAGCAGGCCAATCTAAAGTTGAACCCTAAAAATTGTGTGCATATAGTGAGCAGGGATGGAGTGAAAACTAACCCGGAAAAGGTGAGGGCTGTGCAAGAATGGCCAGAACCCAAGGATAAAGAAGTGCGAAACTACCTTGGGCTCTGTACATACTATCGAATGTTAGTAAGGAATTTTGCCAGCATTGCCATTCCTCTGCACCACCTCACTGGCAAGCATGTGCATTTCCAGTGGAGCCAGGAATGTCAAGCGGCCTTCAACTAGCTGAAGGAAGCACTATCACAAACACCAGTGCTGATGTACCCGGATCCACGTTACCCTTACATCTTGGACTGTGACACGAGTATGGATGGAGTAGGAGCAGTATTATCTCAAGAGAAAGGCGGACATGAACGTGTTGTGGCTTATTATAGTTGCAAGTTCAACAAGGCTGAGCAGAACTATTGTGTTACCAGGAAAGAGTTGCTTGCAATAGTAAAGAGCCTGGACCACTTCCATCATTACTTATATGCTGCTAAGTTTACCATCCGTAGCGACCCTTCGTTGGCTGAAAACTTTAAGAAACGCAGAAGGGCAACTGGCACAGTGGATTGGGAAGTTAGACCAACATAATTATGAGGTTATTCCCCGACCAGGGAAGGCCCACGTCAACGCCGATGCACTCAGTAGGCGGCCTTGTGAACCAGACTGCCGTCACTGTAGCAAGGAGGAACCCTCTGAGTACTGCAAGAGGTCAAAAGTCATAAATGTCAACAACAGGGAGCTGAAGGAGGCACAGCGAAGGGACCGGGACATCGGACCAGGGCCCGGATTCACTAACGCACACGATATAATTACTATGGTAACCGGACAGCGGTGGTATTCACTAACAACTTGCCATCGGAGTTACCATGGTAAATTTTACCAGTGGTCAGAGCGCTGGTAACTTCTTGGAAGACGATGTCATCACATGTTATCTCGTCAAAAAATCAATATCTAAGCATAGTTTTGGGTTTGTTTTTACCTGTTGTAACTAATATGATGGCAAACATATATCACAATGCGGACATAGTGAAGAAGTGCAAATTTCACATGAAACTAGCAAGAATAAAATCCACACAAATTCTCGTAAAATTATAGGCCTATACTATACTAGAATGCATGGAATTGACATAATTATTATAAAAATACTATATAGAAAAAAACTACCTTGCTGAATATATCTGCCAATAACAACGCTAAAAAAGTATAGCAATCTCTGTGTCTGTTGCCATTTTGACAATAAACTCCAAAGTGCATGGGCAAGATTAATCTTGAAATATTTCCTTTGGTGACAGATGCCGATGAATAAAAAATTTGTTTGGTATGGTCCTTTGTTTAACAATGATGAAGAATAAATAAATAAATAATTGTTTGGACTGTCTCTTTGGTTTGAGGTAAAGAGTAACATATTAATATAACTATTTGTATTGGTTCCTATCTATACAGTAAATATATCTTCCACATGATGGATATAATCAAATAAATGTATTAATTTTTGTACATGAGCTTAAATAGTGTTTTAGCTGTAACGATCATTTTTAAAAGCTTGCTGAGCCTAGTTCTGTTTACATGTTACATGATTGGCCGAAGGAGCCTAAAAAATTATGTATGGTGCTCGCTGATTGGTGGAATTGCTTTACTAGAACCCTCTGTTGGCTACCATTAGAAAGTCGATTTACGATTGTAACAGCATATCCAAATTACCCTTTCTTCATGAATCCCGCTTTGCCATCACTAGTAAATGGAATGGTAAATAACACCTGGTAAATGCGTTACGATCGTATGTTAGTGAATCCGGCCCCAGGAGTGCAGTGAATGGAAGACAGTCAGGATCGTCCGAAATGGATGGCAGTGGCTCCACTGAGCCTTGCTACCAAGAATTACTGGCATGAATGGGATGCTCTAAAGATGAAGGACGGTGTTCTGCACAGAAAATGGGTTAAGGCTGATGGATGTATCAAGTTCTGGCAGGTGGTGTTGCCAATGGAGCTGTGGGCCAGACTGATACAAGAGGCGTACGTGTGTGGCAAGTGGACACAAACAGCAAGACACTGAGTCGACTGCGCCAGTGATATTACTGGTTTGGAATGCGGAAGGACGTGCGAGAATGGTGCAAGACGTGTGCCACATGTAATGCAAAGAAGGGGCCAGCAAAGAAGGGAAAAGCACCCCTACAATTGTATCAAATGGGCACATCGCTGTAGCGGGTTGCGGTAGATGTGTCTGGACCATTTCCAGCGACAGCAGCTGGGAACCGGTTCATCTTGGTTGCCATGGATTACTTCCCAAATGGCCAGAAGCCTACCCCATCGCCAATCATGAAGCATTTACAGTTGCGGAGGTCCTTGTGAATCATTTTTTCAGCCGTTTTGGAGTTCCTGGCGGTTTGCACTCTGAGCAAGGACGGGAATTTGAGGCGGCTGTATTTCGAGAGTGCTGCCAGTTGATGGGAATCAGGATGACCAGGAAGTCGCTTCTGAGACCGCAATCTGATGGGATTGTCGAACGGTTTAATAGAACAATAGTGCAGGAGCTGGCTAAGTACTGTAACGAAGGACGGACAGAATGGGACAGCAAACTTCCACTCTTGTTGATGCCATACCGTTCCGCAGAGCATGAAGCCACCACCTTCACCCCTGCAAGGGTGATGTTAGGGAGCTACATTTACCGCTGGACCAAATGAGGAATTGCCTGTAGCAACTAGTGACTATGCCGTCGAATTACAACAACAACTTGATGAAGTACACCACCAAGTGAGAGGACACCTGAAGTTTGCAGGAGAGAGCATGCGACGCTATTATAACAGGGACGCCCGTGCAGTCAAGTTCAAGGTGGGAGATTTAGTGTGGCTGTACAACCCCAATATGAAGAAGGGTATGTCACACAAGCTACAGAGCCCTTGGGAG